CGGCTGAGGGTCAAAAATTTGCCTGACTGAACCACCAAGGGCGGTAATTAGCAGTCCAGCTTAACGGTGACCCAGACACCTGGGAGCTGTCGCCGACCATAGTCGGCTCAAGTGATCAGACAATAAACCGTTTAAGCCGAATGCTGGACGCCCGGAGAACTCTGAATATTTCCACGGAAATGGTTATTGCCATAAAGGTTTTGAGTGGACGGTGTCAAAGGCAGCTGCGCGTAACGGCGATAAACAACATTCGAAGACGAAGGGACTTTGATCTGAAACTTTGGCAAAAGAATTCAAAGAAGAAACGAAATGACCAGTATTTACTCGGAAAATCCGCATAATCACAATTTTAGTAGGCCTATAGATTGCAGTGTTGTAGACGAGCGCAATTAATAGTAGTTGGACGAGATATTATAATTATACGAGAAGCGCGCGACCGAGATTCAACGGATAAAGAGCATGTATTACAACATCAGAAGAAAGTTAATAGCGGGACGGTATCTGAAATATTTTCAAAATGCATCTTCCGCTTCAACTCATCGTAATTGGACGGCTTTTCGCTGTATTTAATTTCATCGTTTAGTATCTACTTGCGCACAGTGTGCAGCGCAGTGTGCAGCGCAGTGTCTCCGTGACGCATTAAGTTGTAAATAACTCTTCGAAATAATTACTAGTCCGAGTACGAAGCCAGAATAATTAAGAGGCGTTTCGATGCACTTTCACCGCAGAAAATTCTTTTTCGTTTCACTTGCAACACTTTAAGCGCAATCGTTAAAAAGTCAATAAATTGGTATTTCTTTTAATTACGTTACCAGGCAGCGTTCTCCCTTTAATACCTATGTTAGTGAAACATGCAGTGAATCGTTCAGCGAGACGATTTGTCGTATTCCATCAAACTTATCTCGATACCATCGGCGTCAACAAAACCGAATAAATTTGAATGTGCTACAATATGAACCATGTAATGTTTCTATCGAATAATCACTTGTAAAATTACTTGCTTCCTTTCTATCCGTCTATTCATCCCCCACGTCCGTCATGAAATATCGAATATATTAGAACTGCCGTTACCCCGTAACCTATAGTTATTTATCCCCGAAGCTCGCTAGCTACAATTAGGGTAGAAACTGAAATTGGCCTCACTTGCAGTGATCGAGTATAGAAAACAGAAAAGTAAAGTAAAAACATTCGCGATACGACAACGAGTTTCGAATACTCGAGCAACATTAAGACCAGTACGCGTCTATTCCAGCCCCCATTGCTCATTACTTTTTCATAAATTATGCGCACACCTGCGATTCGCAAACTTCTCGATTGCTCTCTGTCGCTTATCTAGGACCCGGATGACACACGCGTTTATGGTTGCGCCAGGAAGCAAGGTCAGATGAAGATGGCGAGATTAGATGAGACAGGAGAAAAGTCGCGGAGAAAGAAGGTCGGCAAAGATAGACGTGGCAGAAAGAGGAGGGAAAGAGCGAACGGAACCGAGTTGGAGCGGACGAGTCGTGGAATCGAGACGGAGAGGAGACGCAGAGGAGACGAAGAGGAGACAGAGAGGAGATCCAGTGAGAACGCAGGAAAGAAGATGAAAGAGAAAGAGGTGTATCAAGCTAGCCGAGAGAGTTCGTTGCCCGATTGCCTGGCTTCGCCGTCCCTCTTCTTCTTTGCAGTCCGTTTTACTCTTTTTTTATTCGCGACCATCGAACACGCGTACATGACTGCAGGTAGATACGTACAGGAGTGCCTGTTTCGTCGAGGGTGACGTCACCGATCGAGAAATCTACCCAGGCGAGTTCAGGTTGCCTGGCGCAACCTACGTTCTCCTCCTTCCTTCTTCCATCAGTCGCGACGAGTGTGTACCATGACTCGAAAAACGACATTTCCTGAGAAAACACAATTTTTCAGTGCTCCCGGTCTCACCTCTGGACGCTTCCAATTTTTCCCGTTTTAATCCAGTCACGAATTTCGACGATCAAAGCTAGAAAGCTAGCGCTCGAAAGGAAGAATCGTCTCAAATTGAAAGTGAAACTAATTCTTTCGATCGTTCATCGATATCCAGGTTTCTATTGCACACTCGTGTATGCGAGCAGGTATAGATTTCGATGATCCATCGTTAATTCTATCAAACAAAGATCTCGGTTGATCCACAGAGAATAGAAAGCAGGTACGCAACAATTTCAATTGTCAGGTATACACTTGAATTCTAATCGATAAATGGAAAAGTATTTCCCGTGTTCCGAATACACGTTGCTGCTTCGTAGCTGTTCAGATATTTGAAACTTACTCGCGAGACGCATACATCCATGTAGGCAAATAGTGGCGCCGAAGATAAGATGTTTACACCGCACGACCGTAATTCGAACAAACGGCATATTTCTGTTAGCTCCTATCTACGTATTTCTGCTTCCAACGCATTCCCAAGTGTCTATTTTACGAAACGTATCAAGCAAAAAATATCTTTTCCATTGAGCTTTTTCTATTTACAATTTTATAGGTTGCATCGCACTCGATTTCACAATGGTGACACACCATGACCCATACAAGGATTACCGAACAATTAAATATCTTTCCTTTCTTTAGCGTAATAACGTTAGTGTGCAGTATATTTAATTGTTAAGTATAGTTGGGAAAGTAAAGAAATACTGTATAGAAAGAATGCGCAGTATTTGTGAGACATCGTTTGCAGATGTACATGTGAAAAAACCAATCGGTGGAGGGATCGTTAGAATACTATAATATATTAAGCTGAATAAGACTCGGGTGAAGCTCAGATTTATTGAATCCGCAATGACGGCCAATGTTTGTCATTAGAAAATCAAATGTTATTGAAGAAGAAAAAAATGCTGCGAACAATGCGGATAATCCGTGCAAAGGAATGTCATGGGTACGAAAGCCGATCTACCGTTGAATCGAGTCGGAGTCTACTTGTTATTAACGTCCATACGGCGTTTGTAATGGTATCGCGTATTTTCCGTGTTAGCATCCCAACAATACGATCAGCAGTCGCACAATGCAATTATCGTTACCGTTGTGTCCTTTTTACGCTCCCAATCTATGAGAGAGACAATCTTTCAGACAGCACCCATTATATGGTTGTTGGCCATTTTTCCAAATACAAATTGCTACTCATTGTTCATCGTATAAGACGTTGAGCGGCTAATAAACAAATCAATTCAATCTGGACAATGATGAATCGGAGCAACATTTAAAAATAGTCAAGCGATTCAAGTAGGTTGTTGTAAAGTCTAATCCCTTTCCTTCTCAGTAAGAAATCATCATTTGCACGAGCATGTCGAAACTACGATCAATTGAAATTTATATCTGCATACATTCGGAAAGAGTACATGGAAGAATAATAAACTACTTGCGCGTATATACGTATGCAAAACGGATTTCCAGCAAGAAATTCTTGCCGGATTTTGTTCAGGTAACGCCGAGGGTTAGAGTGCAATAGAATTACAACGGTTCGACGGTGTAAAGTTGGTAAATATTTACCGAACCTCGCGACCCATCAGTACAATTGTATGTCTCAACTACCAGACCGACCCCCCGACCACTCTGCCAGAGAGATTCTACACCTTCGAATTCATGGAGATTAGAAACTTTCGAGACATCTATTTTAGAAAATTGATTACAGTTATCGTTAGCTGTAAGTTTAATACATTGAATGCCGCACGATTTCCTCGAGTAAAATGGACAAGATAAAATATTCATTCAATCGATTCAATCGGATCTCACCGCGCATTAGGTTGCTTTATTTCTAATACAGAAATGTTTTCAAATCGGTGACCCCCATGGCGTTCAACGTGTTAACGGAAAAACATATTTATTTTAGATAGAAAATTAGACAAGATTAAACAATTGCTTGCATTTCAATGATTTCATAATTAAGTGAAGCATAATTGAGACAGCAAAGATTTCAACCTCGCGTTCGGGGAAAAGTATGCAAGGTAAGTTTAGATTTATGGTTTTCTTATCGTTAATATAGAAAAATGATGTTACGTTCATTGATGGAGAGTAGATCATTTAAACGAGTTGATCGTATATACGAACTCGTGTATTGATTCGAAATTCTAGTCGCACTCGTTCGATGAACCCGATCGATTCTATTTTGATCGTTGATCCTCAAGGGTAACCATAGCGCGACATTCAACATTACGTACACAATTGTAGGATTTCGATCGACACCGGTTAATAGGTCCCAACTGCTCTCAGAAATTGAAATGTTCATGATGTAAAGCGTTAGCATCAGCTTGAATGAACCGATAAACAGGAATCA